AACACCAGTCAGCATTTGACTCAATGATAGATCAAACCTGTAGAGAAAACGGTTACTTACAAATTACAAAGGTTCAAAGTAAGAAGTAACCTTCTCATTAGGTCCCTAATTTTATTCTTTTTTAAATTCATTTTTACTTTCCGGAATATTTATACCAGTATATAAAACCCAACCCCTTATTTGGCATTTTTAGCATACATAGAAGCATATTTCTATATCAAAGTGTAATAAATAATTATTAAAACTGAATATATGTACAAGGGCACACATACAATGTACATACGTTTGTAATCATATAAAATAAGATCCTCGAATTTAAAAAAAAACATACCTTATGTGCTGGAACTTCTTTCCTTTCTGAAAGAAATCTGATCCCCTTGATTGTTGACTTTTAGATAAATGTAAATTAAAAACACATATTAAATATTACGCTGTAATCTGAGAATTAAATGCCTTTGCATAATCATGTAAGTCTACATTTACTTTCATGTGAGTAACTTACGTCACAGCCTAATTTGGTATAAATGATTTAGTAACGGAATTTTCTGATATGAGCTTGCATATTTTTCTTTCCCTACCACAATTATACATCTTTAAATGGAAATGATAAACTGTGTTTGAAATCTAGCAGGAACTATATTTTTGGCGGAATGGCAGCGTAGGAAAATATCTTCTTTTCAGCTTTTCAAAATAATTATAGAAAATAATTAATTTAGTCATAATGTTTACACAATCAATACATGAAAAAAATTCAAATGTAAGTTAAATTCATAATCAGGGTCTAAAGTCTTTAAAAAATATTTTTTAAATATGATTTTCCAAACTAACTATGTACAATTATGTTAGCTTTTAAAAACTACCATTTTTGTTTTACAGATTACAAAATTCCGTAAAAAGTTATTTTTTTCATTTATAAAACCATCAAAACTTTTTTTCCTTTTATACCATTTTGTATATAATGTGACAACTTTACCATAAAAAAATTAAATATAGAAAGAATATAAAAATAACTAGAATATCCTAAAAATATGAGAAAAATAGAGAAAATTCGGATTAGCCAAAATCCATTTTAGTTTAAATATCTACGTAAATTTGGTTAAAACATCTTAGAGACCCAACATGGTAATTTCTCTTTAAGCAAAAAAGGAAAACATTTAATCTTTGAAATATAAGTAGACATTGCATAATTGGCAACAGTAACGTTTAAGGAAAATGTAATGTTTTTACCTGACCTTGCCTTGACCAATATAAAACGGTCAAATTAAATCTTACTGTTACCATCACTTAGTGATATTGTCTTCTTGATACTGTGCAAATTTCATTAATTTTTTTTAATATAAGATATATGAGAAGAATCCCACTTTAATTTTCAATGACTTCATCAAAATATCTGGAAACTTTGCATTTTATTAATTTTTTTCTTTATTTACATGTACCTCCCCATTTAATTGACAACTTTTAAAATATAAAATGTGTTTCTTAAACAAAAAATAATGAGCAAAATATACAGAATTTAACTAAGGAAACTGACTTGCAAAAATTAATTTCAATGGATTTCCTATATGTAATTCTTTTTAAAAATGACCTAAAATCCCTCCATACAACCACATGTGTCTTTGTGTCTCTTTTGACTGTTTGTTTGACGAAGAAATAATGTACGTTGTTACTCGTTACTAGATATTTTCAAAATTAAAAATGTATTTCACAGAATCACCCTTTTTATAATATTGACACAAAAAGCACTGACAAAAATCCAAAGCACAAAGCATTAAAACGGAGCAGATGGCGTCCTCAAAATAATAAAATTCCGGAAAAACAATTAAATTCGGCTCATGAAAAATATAATGGTCCCCTTTTAAAATGATTTAAAAGTAACAATTTGTGAACTAAGTTTATATGTTCAGCTAATGTTTGAAGAATCTTATATTCAAAGAAAAGGTATGCATTCTTTCCGCATGTACATGTAGCATTTTCACCTAAATTAGTCTCCGTTTAGTTTCATTTTTAGCATATGTTCCTTAAGATTTTATTGTGATTTACATATACGTACTTGGATATATTTGTTAAATGTTAACGCCTAGCTTATTTAAATTAAGACATTGGTAAAGCTGTATTCCTTATTTTCGTCTTATCTCATGAATATTGAAAATATTATTACCATGTGGTAATTGATCGTTCGCTATGATTATATATAATATAAAACTTTTACTCATTTCCGATTTTTGATTTTTTTTGACGATTTTCTTTTCATTGTGTACAATTTAAAGTTTGGCAAAGGTAAGTTCAGAATATTGTCTGTATAATATTACGTAACATCCCATGCATTTTGGGGGGTTTTTTGTATTAAATTTTACTTTACTGTACTCTGTAGCAAGAACCAGTGCGCGTTTATTCGGAGTGTAAGTCTTTAAAGGTGTTTCTAGAAAAATAGTTTCTTTGACATGTATGGAGATAACAAACAAAAGTCCATAAAACAATACAGAAAATGAGCAGAGCAAACATAGGCCTCAAAACATACTATAATTCATATGATAATGTAATAAAGTTTAATACAAATTATGTCTTCAAAAAATTATTGTACTTAACTGCGCTTCAATCAAGCAAATAATGAATTATTTAAATGTGTACATTTTAAATGAGTTTTTCTTTTTTCAATATTACGGTGTATGTGTTAAATAATTGTGAAATAAAAAAAATTACTATAACTTTACTTTTAAATCCTAGGCGGTATATGTAGATTCTTATATGGCCTATGTTAATTGAACTCAAAATAAAAACAAAAAGGGAAATTTATAAAGGTATAACCTGAGAATGAATCGAATACTGGACTTTCCTAGAGCCTCTCCAAATCAGAACTAGATTTTATTGATTGTTTTATTTGTTTATTTTTAAGTTTTATTTTGAAAATTAAGTTATCAAAAAATGTCTATTATATAATTTTCTTACATCAATTAACATTCATGAAATTTAATTTCATTTTTATTTCAAAACCATAAATCTTTATTTTGAAAACTTATTATTTATTTTAAAAATCTATTACATTAAAAAAAAATTGGCTGATTTTGTTCCTTAAAACACTGAAATCAAAAATAATTGGTGTATAAGTGAAATATTTTGAATCATTTATTAAAGTTATCATTGTTTAGATATTTATCAAAGATTTTGACTTTCAAGCACTCACTAAATTATTTATCAACATACAATTAAAATCAACGAGAATAAACTTTGATTAAAAATTGTACATGTAGTAGGGGCGGAAACTTAAATGACGGTGAGAACAAAATATTTTGGTCCAAAACAACCTTATCGTTTAAATGCCATATCCAATATCTGTAATTAATATATATATTTTTTTATTTTCAAAGTCGTAATCAACATAAAGGTGTGCATGCGCACGGCTAAATACTAGTATCTGACAAGGACATCTTTGCAAAATTAAAACAAAAAAATTTTCTGTTTATAACCGTCAAAGGTCTGAAACAGAATTTAAAAGAAGACAATATTGTTAGCTATTTAAATGCTTGTAAGTTTTTTTTTAGTATTTTGTTTTTAATTTGTTCACATGATAAAAATATCAATGGATTTTTTTTTTGCTTCAAAAGGGGTTCTTTGTCTTCGTGAACAAGCTGAAAATAATGCAAAAAATAAAATACTTTTTGAATTTTTGTCTTATGTTAAAGTCAATAAGAACACAAAACGCAAAAAAAAATGACTTTTATCTGAATAAAATTAATAGAATATAGTGTTATAAAATATTTACATGTTTAAGACAAAAATATATTTTAAATAGTCATTATCAGGACAATTTAAAAAAAATTATCTGCACCTAATAGCTTTGATAATTACTCCAATATTGCTAAAATCGAGAAATACGAAATGAAAATAACCAATATGTCAAGAAAAGGTTAATATTAAAATTACAATATAAAGAGATTTACTTAACAAACATTCACAAAGTAATGAATCTAAAAAATGTTTTTCTTCAATAATTGAAACAAACTATTTCAGAGGATGAAATGAATATTTAAGCTGGCAAAGATTGTTAAAGTATTTTACTTTTGCAATTTTAAATGTGGGTAATTTTACAAATAACAGCTCAAAGCTTATTTAAAGCTCGTTTGAATATTTTCTTTAATAAATTTTTTTTAAAAAAAAAAATAAAGCGAGAGGCTTTTTTTTTTTTAATCTCCACTTTTCTGTAACGTAAAAAATATGAAAATTAAAAAAAATACAGATATTTAAAAAATACAATAGTATTTGAATTCACTTTTTAAAAATTAAAACACCGGTACCCTCAAACACAAACTACAGTAACTGTTGTATATAGATGTGTAATTCATTCATTACTCTAGAGTGATTTACGCGTGGGCGTACAGACCTGTATTTAACAAATTAAAATGAATGTTGTATAATGACAAAGTACACCACTAGCAGACCCCCTCCCTGTCGTTTCCCTGACAATTTCCTTCAATGGCATTTTTATCAATCAATTAAATGAATTAGATTCTCCGTCTGTCAGACAACTGTGACACTGTGCCTCTATCGGCTTGCCTTTTCTGTTGTCCTTATTAGTTCTGTGGAAACAGACATCAAAAATCTGTCACTTTAACATTGTCTAGTCTCCGTGTGGTAGAGCTCTTTCAGAAAACTTCTGCTTCTTTCCCATCAGATGTCATATCCTTATTAAAGAATTTTGTATTACAAAATTCGTATTGTTTAACCTGTTCGTCAATATGTCTTTAATCTATCAAATTTTCACCTACAGATAAGATGTAACAGACAATTATTAAAACATTTAAGAGTGCATATCTTTCCATAATATAATAATAATAATGTCACAATAATTATAGTTATTGTGTATAATATCTTTCATGTATATCTTAAGGTACCATGAAAACAGATAACTGCAGGAAAAAAAATCAGAATTTTGCACTATATTCAGATCTTTTTTTAATATTTCTTTTAAAAATACATTTAATTTAATTTTAATTTTTCTACAGATAATCATGGATTTAAATTACCTTCAGGATTTCTGTATAATGTGTTGCCAAATTTGGATTATAATTGTGTTTTCATATAAACCGCCATAGGATTATTACATCAATGTCATGTGTTTCTGTGCAAAGAGGAATAACTCGCGTTAAAACAGCCCTGAACTGGATTGAAGTGCCCTTGGTAAGTTCCAATTTCTTGTTTTTCTAGAGACAAAGCACGATGTGCGGTAGGGAAAGGTGTCGCTGCTCTTTTGTCGTAGGCTGTTATTTGTCACAGGTTTACTTTGGTCATTCAGTCAGTTGGGCCACGTAAGTGTTTACATCCTGGTCGTTAAGTTTCAATAAAGTAAAACTGTTAGAACTTTTAAGTATAAAGCTCGAATTAATTTTCTTCTTGTGGCGTTTGATATGTTCGACAAAATTACAGGGTTTTGTATTTTACTCGAATTTAACGGTCGTTTATTGGCATTGGGGGGTCAAAGTCAAACATAAGGGAATAGTGTGAAGTCTTTTGATTTTCACATTGATGTTTTGAGATGAAAAAGATCGAAGTAATATTTTTTATGTGGTCAATTATTAAATAGAATTCCAACATTGTAATGTATACTTTCAACAAATAACACACTCGTCTGATGAAAAACTAAGAAACTGTTTTTGATTTTTGACAAAGACAAATCTCCCACACAGAAACTTGATTTTCTGACGTGGGGAAATCTGGGGTTTGTAAAATGTTAAAGATAATTTTCTCAAATTGATAGAATCAAGACATGTTAGAATTGTTGACCCCCGGGGATGCTGCCAAATCGACCCGTATCGGCCTGGACAGCATAGCAACGAACCTACAGCAATATCTTTGTACATTTTTACGACCTCGATCGGTAAAATTTGGTCATAAACTGAACATCAAAATTCCGCGGTTATGACCCCTGCTTTAGATTTGTTAAGACCAGTCAGTACTTGGGGTTCTTTCATCTGTTAAGTGATGGGGGCAAACTTAACATAAAACATCCCGTAAATCTCCAGATAAAAGCTGGGACGCCCAAGAAGATTTTTGAAACGATTTTTTTTGCGTAGATTTTAATTTTCGGTAAATATCGATACTTTTTCCAGACATAAATGCTTTTATGTTCGTGTTTATATTTACATTTCTATATGAAAAGAATAGAAGTTAGAGAAGGCAAGATTTAATGTAAATGTTCTCCTAGAAAATAAAGATATCTTTTTACCCCCTATATTTACAAGGACAGAGGGTATTATGAAACAAATTACTGCTAGTTAACTAATAGTCTATATTGTTAACATATATCTTTTAGGTGAAAGAACCTCGATATAAAATATTTAACAAGAACATATTTTAAAACCATTTTATTAGTGCCAAAGAGAATATTTACTTTGTTTCTTTTGTCCAGAAAGCAATATAAAATAATCATATATATGCAATTTTATTTTTCTTTCAATGATTGAACTGCACGACCCTTGGCGTACATGTCCCTAGCTAGGATCGTTAACGGACACATTTCTGTTATTTTTTTAAATCATCTTCCTTTAAATTCGACTAATTCTTTTCTTTCTTTTTTTTTAAACAAAATTCACAACCACATTTTTGGTATATTATTATTTTTATTTATTCATTTATTAATCTATCAATAAGTTCTATTTTTTCATAGTTTACAAACTTTCTTCCATAATTTCTGGTTGATTTATATATTTTTAAACATATTTAGGTATTTATTGTTTATTAATTTATTTATCTATTTACCTATTTATTTTTTTTCATTTATTTATTTTTTTTTATTTTTTTTTATTTATTTATTTATTTTATTATTATTTATATATTTTTAAATGATTTTTTTTAATTATTGAATAGTTTTTATTTATTTATTTGTCTATGTTAAACTCTGTTTCATATTGTGGTCAAGTCAATTTTATTATCTATTTATTTTTATAATTAATATATTTGTTAGTATTTTTTTTATTTGCTTCTGATTTTAATTTTACTTAATTGCTATTTTTACGAATCTTAATGAATTATGTTTTTAAATTCAACTTGAAATTAATTTACATAAATCTTAAATATTAATGATGAAAAAAAATAATATTATAGTCAATATCATTTCTGATGCCATGTACAAATAAGTCAAATCAATGAAACTGATTTTACCATTGGCTATCAATAACATACATGTATAACCTACTGTAAGAGTTATCTCCCGCTTTACACTATAGATATGCCTCGATGATGAGTTGTATAGTTTTTATAACTAGGCAAAAAAGTGAGAACAAATCTAATGTATTTTTTATCAATATAATTTAAGTATTTATTTGAAGCAATATTTTTTTTATTTACTGATTTATTTATATATAATTTATTTTTTTTCTTAGTTTTTCCTTTCTGCATAGTTAATTATTAACTATGCAGAAAGGAAAAACTAAGAAATTTTTAATTTTTTTAAATAATCTTGTCACCTTTTACAAATTCTAAACAAAACTTAACCTACGAACAAAGCTATAATATTTCTTTGTTTATTTAAACATAAATAGGCATAATGTGTGTTTTTCCTATGTGTGAGGTTATATCATAATTCATGTCTGGGCTATTACACACGGCGACGAGAAGGCAAATGGACGCCAAAATTAACCACCTCTAATGCCAAAATGCTATCTCCAAAAACCCTGAAAATACTGAATTATTGTTAAATTCTGTGAATATGTTAATCCGTGTCAACTATGTGCATTATTTTTCAAAAAGATTTATTTCTTTGTATATTTATGTAAACTAGCGAGTTTTCCCTCTCGATAAATGATGTCGTAAATCAACCCGACCTCACACATTTTTTTCTTATTTATGATGGAAAAGAGGTTTTTAAAGTGTCGCGAATTAAAGTTTAAAAAACTCACTGGACCAAACAAATTATTTTATTTTTTTCAACTTAGTTTTTTAAAGAATGTTTTCTTTTTTATTTTTAATTTATACATTTATATCATCTGCTTTTAAGAGGTCTTGTACAGTTTCGCCATTCGCCGTCGCTGCTGGCAAATTTCGTGCGATTTATGTCCTTAAATAAAGCAAAATTTCTATTATCACCTTGTAAAATTCACAGCACAGTTACAAAATTGGGAATAGTCGGTGTAAGTTTAACAATTTTACGACAGAATTGTAATTTGGTAGAATTTGACAGAGTTGTGTTATAATTGGATTCTGACACTATTCCGAAGCATATCATGACATAAATTTTCCAATCAATTTTAATTTGAAAAAGTTTCCACAACTAATTATTTATTAGAACTTGATTTTGACTGATATTTCAATTGAAATATATTTTTCTTCTTACTGGCAAACTTGAAAAATACCTTAACTGTTCGAATTTATGCTTTCCATCTAAATAGAAAAATTCATGAAGAAACATGATTATAATTTTTAATTAAATGTGCTAAACAAAATCTTTTTTTTTAATTTCAATCTTACAAGCATTTCAAATTGAATTCCTGTATTAAGGGAAAAAAATAAAGAAGATATTAAATTTAACCCTTTACATTGTATGCTCTTATTAATTTTATATCGCAAATATCCTGAAAATATGCGGGAAATGATTTTGAAAAAAAAATAATTTCTGTAACAATGAAGATTTGGTTTCACCTTTTAATTTCATACTTATTTTTTCATTTGACTCATTTAAATTAAATACTAAAAGTGTATGAATTAGCGATTTGATAACATACTTGTATTTAAATACCGTTCCAATTAAAATATCTGTGTTTCCAATATTTAAAGATATTTATTCTTCTTCGGACTTTTCTAAAATTGTATCTCTAACGTCCACGTCCCTGACGTTACATCTGTCAGATACGATATTATCATTCTAGTTAATTTCTGAAATAACTCATCGTTTAGAAGTAATATAAATTTGGATTACAGCCTTATTCATAACTGCATTCAACCTCAGCCTAGTTACTAAATATATTTTTGTGCATAAATCTGTCAAAAGCGTACATTACATTTTTCAGAATAATGAAGATAACTGTTCAATAAGTATCATTTTATTATATTTATTCTGTATGAGGTATTTTACTTGCTTTTTAATTCTTGTGACATTTTGTGATAATATAAATTTGTACAAATTTCTCACTTTTCAAAAATTAGTGTTAGAAAACTCTCTCTCTCTCTCTCTCTCTCTCTCTCTCTCTCTCTCTCTCTCTCTCTCTCTCTCTCTGAAATAGGGTAACCATTGCTTATCAGCAGTATTGATGTCTGCTCGCGATGTTTGAAAGGTAGTTCAAGATTTCCAATAAATCGTTCGGCATCCTTCCATTCACCAAGATTATGGCGGAATAGCTCTGTAGGGAGATCGGTGAATACGTTAATTCCTCAAATTTGTGGAACTGCATTGTGTTTGCCGGCCCCCTCTTCGGGGTCGTTAAAAGGTAGACAATGCCTTTCCTTTGTAAGCTCGTTGTGTCAGGGCCATGTTCTAATTAATTAGTCAATGAAGGTCGATTTCCGCTAAAATAGGACAAATGTTTTATATTAGAACTGCTTTCATTCTGCATTTCCTTTCCCCCATTTAGAGCTACGTGTGCATTTTCCTTCCAAATATTGTCTGTACATTATATTTTAATATTAATAACATTTTATATTTTGTTATTCCATAAACATATAGTTTATGAATAGATAATAAATAGATAATAATTTTTTTTCAATTTTTTCAAAAAAAAATTACAGTAATTAGGATATTTGGAATCGTGAAATTGTGATTCAACAAAAAATTGTAACTCGGTATTTAAATTTACATTTCTACATTTTCTGCATATTTATGAATATTCAATCGACAAAACTGCATTTATTTTTAACCACAAATAAATCAGCGTTTTAATTTTATTTTTAAATAAATAAAATTTGAAACTTTATCTATCTATTCGCCGTGAAGATTAGTCGCGTATTACCTATTTCGTTTTAAATTTGATTAACATAATTTTTTTCATTGAACAGGAAACATTATCAAATATTAAAACAATATACACATGTAGAATGTTTCATCATTTTCTTATTTTAAGTGTTGTTTATCCTAAATGTTTTAGAGTTTAAAATTTTACTTTGCGAAAGTTCAGCCCGTTCCCACAGCAGAAAAGCCATGTCACCCGTTACCATTTTTTTGTGGACAGTGACTTTTTTCCCAAAATGAA